TAAAGCAGAAGTCTTTACTGCTGTTTTGCCATTTCTTTTTGTAGCATTAGGAGACATGTTTATTCTTTCACTCATCACTGATGACTAACAACCTTATGAGGCACCTCTGGAAACAAAACATTAAAATCCTGTTTATTTAAAGGTGGTTAAGTTCAACAAATCAACTCTACTGTATGTTATGGAAAAATGTGTATCCATACAAACAAAATAAGGAAAAATGAAAGCGTGAGAAGCAGGAGGTGTAGCAGTTGTCAGAGTGAGAGAAATTGATTCTCTACTGACCAGCACTTCAAAATAAGAGACCTAGGGTGACTGGGTAGCCCCAAACACACACAACCCCCACTTCCTGTCTGGGTCAGGAGCAGCGCAGAGCCAGGATCGCAAAATCAGAGGGCAACTCATGCTGTGAACAATTTAGAGGAATGTCACAGAAATTTTCATTCTGTATATTATTTAGTCACTCATCTGCAGATAAAGACAAGAAAAACTACTACAAAATGCAAAACATCTAGTTTTGTCTACAACTTCAAATATATTTCTGTCCTCTGTATAAAATCAGACCAGTTTTGCTATGTTGTCTGTGTGTCCCTCTCTATGTCCCTTTAACTCAAGAAAACCTGTTTTGCCACTTACAGAGACACTTTATTGACTAACCCTATTAACAATTAACCCTATAAATGCCTGGCTCCAACTCTATTAGCTTAAGGATAAGGATTATCATCTTTATTTGGCCAAGTATGTTACTCACACAAGGAATCTGTTTCAGGTACAGAACCGAGGCAGCCATCTGCGGCGCCAACTCAATCGATGGCTCTAACCATCGGGGGCAACTTGGGGGTTCAGTGTTTTGCTCAAGGACACTTCAACCTGTTGACTGCAGGCACCGAGATTTGAACCTTCGACCCTCTGGTTGGGAGACTGCTCTACCCACCAAACTCACGAAAATGAAAGAAAATCACAAATATGAACCCTGTAATTTAATGGTTAACCCTGTGAGAACCAAAGTTTTGTCTCCACAAAGTGATTTAGATGTAAATACACACCCTCAACTACCATTTCAAGTCTGCATGACCAAACCTTCTCATTTACTGTCTGCCACAGACACTATACTGAATTATGACTTAGATAGAGAGATTGTTTAAATAGATAATGTTACATTACAAAAATAACACAGGAAATCATATAAAAGATGCACACAGATTTGGCTATGGTCCCTGGACAGTGTTTCCTCTTATAGCATCTTGAACCATGACACTTCAGGGCAAAGGGACAGCGCAAACCATGCAATAGAAAGCAGATGTCCATGCACAAACACAAACATGCATAAATTACATGCAGATGTTTGTGATTACACCGCATCGCTCTTCTCATCTTTTTCTCATACAGATAAGAGCAGCAATGTCAGGATGACTTTGCACCATCACAACACTTTCAGAGAAGTCCCGCAACCCAGACATCAAGTTCAATGCTTATAGAATTAATTTGGTTCAAAATGAAGCATATATATTTCTTCATTCAGTCTTTGCATTTGTTAGTTTTCTTTACAATAATACATCCCATCTCTTAACTAGATATATATCATCTACTGGTATTAATTTGCTGCTCCTAATTGTACAAAACCTGTACAAAGAACAAGTCCGACCTGTAACAAGTGTGTCTTTGCTACTGATTACTGATAAAATAGAGCCCTCTAGTGTCTGTGACAGGAAATGTTGATGGACATAGCTTTAGGGAGCAGATGATGGAGGGAACTGTGCAATGAGGAGGAACAAGACATGGAGGAGGAAACAGGCTTAGGTCAAGTGTAATTGAATATATAACATAAGAGTAATATGTTGAACAGTTTCATCATCTGTTTTCTTGTAATATTGGATGACGTGTATCGGGTAAAAATGTTTGTTATCATTCATTGTGGAGAATTTGCATTGACTTACATTCATTTATTTAAGACTTACTGTACCTTACCTTAAACCATAACCACTACTAACCTAATGCTAACTCTTGCCCTACCTTGAACCTGACTCTAGCCTCAAACCATCACTCTAAAAATCAGTGATTTACATTGCGGGGACCAGATGCTTTTCCCCATGGGGAAGTCTGAGTCCCCACAGTGTGAGTGTGTAAACAGGTTTTGTTCCCCACTGTGTGAGTAATATAGGACACAAACACAGTAACACACAAAAACAAACAAAATAAAGTTGCAAACAGGGCTGGAACTTTGAAACAGGTCAACATGAATGAGTTCTTAATGTGGCTGGACAAAATGAAGATTTGTACATCTACTGTACATTATGATGGTGATCATGTAGTATGACTGAAAGGTCCAGAGCAGCCGCTAATCTTGGTGAGGTGAAATTATTTTATTAGCCATTGATTCAGAGGTCAAGACTGAACATTGAAACTTATCAGGCAACAAATCTGGGATGAAAGCTACATGACATTGTAATTGTTCAAATATAAACAGTATTTCCACTATATTACATATTGTGACAGAACTCAGATACACAAACATTTAGCATTTGGCCTCTGTAATTACTGATAATACTTCACATAAGCATCTTCTTTTAAAATGTCTTCAGGCATGTACAGGGAAACGCTCTAATCATTGTTTTAAAATGCACACGTGAAGCCGAGCAGGTGACCAAAAGTGAACTGTCTTTAGGTCTCAGCTTTAGACATGCCTTTACATGACATGCTGTCTCAGGAGCTGCAGCAGGCTACCTGCCAGCTCCCAGACAGGAAACCACCTGAGGCCAACTTCTGCTTTGAGAAATGATAATTACTTCAAAGTGATGATGACTCATTAACGAACAACAGTAGCTAAAATGACTGATCTTTGTACTGTGACGTATTATTGTTTCTCAGAAGTCACACTACAACTGATGTTATGCTACAGTAATGTTACAGAAAAAGAAGTAGTGTTATATGGTGCAGATAACACTGTGTTTTGTGCTTATTTGTCATAGACTAGAAACAAGTTATTGGTCTGAGAAATAATGGATGATTTTCTTTTTTTGAATTCTCTACTGATAGTGATCTCCTGTTTTTAAGGCTGAAACGTCCACTACTTACAGCAGTGGTGTTCTATTTTTTGTTCCTTCCTCTACTGTGCCTAAGATTTGGAAGTTACAGTCCAATAGGTGAAGGTTTTCTATTTTTTATTCACCCTTAAACACTGTATTGAAACACTGTGAGGAGTCATATAACTTTGTATTTTGTGGAATAACTATTTAGTGTGCATGTAAGCACTATGGTGTTTTCTATTAGTATTTTCATTTATGTAATGTATTTGTGTAATTTGTGCTTGTTATTTTTTTAGACCTGATTTGTTTGTTATGTGCCTTCCTTTCCACAGACTCTGTTTCTATGATCTCAGAGTTCTGCTTGTCATCTGTAAAATGTCTTTATTTATTGATCCATTCATCCAATTTATATAGCCTACCCATTTGTCCAGTTTGAGTTTGGAGTCTATCCCAGCATGCACTGGGTGAGAAGGAACTACATTTTAAACATTTTAATGGGACAATAAGTAAAAGAAAGTTGTTTTTTTTTTTTATAAAAGTCTGCATTCCCACTAAGGAAATTCAGTATAAGCATTCATTTCAGGTAGCAGTGACTGTATGAGTGAGCGAGGTGGATATTCATGTGTACTGTAGAGAAGGTAATGCTTCAATCAGCGGTGTTAACCTGGAGCAGAGGGATCAGAGCCAGCAGAGGATGTTAAGAAGCTGTTAGCATTCAGCTCAGACCACCACTGTGCCTCAGTCTTGTTTTATGACTAGTCAGCTGAAGAACTGACATTTTTCTTGTCACATTAGCAATTACCCATCACACATCTTTATCATGTATCTTTAACATCTTTGAGTCATTGGCACATGTAGCTGAACTGCACACACACAGTATTCCTTTTAATTGTTCTCTTCACTGCCTATAAAACTGCTGCAAAAGCTATATATCTCACACATGCTGACCCAGTAGAAATGACAGGTACAGTAACACATATGTGGGTGTAATTCTATATGTCGCTCCTAGAGGGTGCTCTCTCTAAGCTCTGACCACACACTAATGTCCCCTCTTTTCACTCTTGTTCTCCATATGGCCTATTTTTTCACAGCTTTCCCTTCATATTTTAGGAAGGTGGGGGGTGGGGGTGGGGATCTGGAATCATTTTCCTCTGCACCAGCCCTGCTCAGATGCTTGAAGGACGTACCTTCACACATGCACACAGGCACAAACATACACTCAGTTGTGTTTTCGTTCCTTGTAGGGAGTTTACACTGATATACATTCATTTCCTGTAGACTTATCCTAACCTTAATTATAACCACTAACACCTAACCCTGACCCTAACCTTAAACCATGTTGCCACTCTAAAATCCAATGATTTCCTTGTGGAGACCAGACTGAGTCCCCACATTGTGAGTGTGTTTACAGGTTTTGATCCCCATAATGTAAGTAATACACAGGCACACACACCAGACACAGATGCACATACAAAGATACACACTCATACACACAGAATGGTCTCTTCGGCTCCCCAGGTACTTTGTGGCTTGAACACATGCCGTAGACCCGATCATGCAGATACACATGCATCTCTATTCATACACACATACTCAAGATGATATAATTTAATGTTCTCATATTCACTGAAAGCTCTGCACCACCACAATCCAATTGATCTGTTGCCTTCTTTTGACCTGTTCTGTCTTTCTTTCCTTATTTTCTTTTCTGTCTTTTTTGGTTGTTTTTTGTGTATCTCTATGTAACAAGCAAGCATGTTTCCACCAAATGATGTGGGTTCGATTGTTACCGATGGCTGAGACAAGGGAGAAGCTAGTGAGGCAAGATTAAGGAGGAGGTCTGGGGTCTGGGTTGTGGACAGTGTTTGAAGAGGAGGAACATATCAGACATTGGGTAAACATTGCTGGTTCTGTAGCTTGACAGCACACACACACACACACATGCAGACATATTAATACATGCTTAGCTCTATAACGCTCCAAAGGTTTTTTTTGAAATTTAAAATAACCTACTTCTGCTCTGAAGCTCCTGCTCAACAGGTAAGTGTACTGTTTGTTTCTTGTCTGCTTCCATTTCCTCTTTTTGCAAGGCAGGCAAAACTGGAAATGATCACAACGATTGCACAGTTGGTTTGATGACGCATACTTGAATAACACAGCTACTGTCTCAGCAACCTTTAGAGAATGTGATGTACTATAAATGACACAGGCTAAACACAGCATTGTAAACATGCTGATCAAGTCAGACTTCCTGATAATGCTAATGTTATTTACTAACTGCTGTGTGATACAATAAGTGAGAATGCATGTATATGTTTGTACGTGAGTTTCTGTGCATACCAGCTTTCTGGATATTACTGGAACCATCTACAGTTGTACATGCAGTTGTGCATCTGTATGCAAATGCAACCATCTCAACCTTTGTGTGTTTCAAGTAGTGCCACACAGTTTCATTTTTTACACCACTTTATTACACACACACAGACACATTCACAACATTGAGAGGCTGCCAGTAAAAAATGACTTTGTTTGACCTCCTACTGAAACTATTTTTAAATAACAGTTTTAATTCTGACATTCAGTGGTGCATGGGCTGCATCAGCTCTAAAAAGGGAACTCCAGCAGTTTGCTGTAGAATTACACGTCCATTAAGCTGAGGTAAATTGTGAGAGACTGATTAAACAGGAGTCTACAGACATGCTAGCAGCTCAGTGTTGCCAGACATGATGGCGGTTGGAGCTACATGTTGATAGTGAGACAAATGGTAATGTTCACCATGTTTACCTTCACAGTGTGAAATATTAGCATTTCACAGTTGCTAATTAGTATTGGGAATAAGTTTATTCCTTGGTCATAAACTGAAGGACTGGACAAATTGAAACTTTCTACTGTGAAAGTAGAAGTAAAGTTACAGCGGCATCAGAATCCATTTTCTGGGCACCAAGATTGTGGACAAATGTTACTGAAATCCATATAACCATAATATAACCTCTGTAGCAATCCAAAAAACCCCTAAATCTCACATTTCCCATGAAGCAGCTTGACACCATGTTTTATTGGACTCTCCCTGGCAGTACCCACAGCAGACACCAAACTCATTGTCCTCAGGTTTTGTGATATCATGCTGTGTCACTTAAGTAATTTTCGATAAATAAAGCTCCTCCAGAGCCAAAGGGGACCTTATACAACCTTTGCAGACTTGTAACACTGTTTCCAATTTGCAGGATTACATAGCTCACCAGCTGTCTCCATGGCTGTCCTGTGCTGTGCTGTCTTGGTGCTTGTGTGTGTTTTGCACTCGGCCTCAGACACTGTTGTATCTGACATGGACTATGGAGGTGTTCCGCTGTGGATCAACCGCATTTTGGGCGAGCCCAGTGTGATGAGCCTGCAGGGGCGGATGGACCAAGCCTGGTTTCAAACCAGCAACCCCCAGGCCTGTCCTCAACAGTGTGAATGCCCCATTCAGTGGCCCACAGCCCTCTACTGTGACAATAGAGGCCTGGCAGAGCTGCCTGACAGCCTGCCGGACACAGTTCAGTACCTGTTTCTACAGGTAGGACAGGCACTGACACGGCCACTGAGCTGATCTCCACTGAACTCTATTGTATACAGTATGTTATGCTGTAAGTGTGAAAAGACAAAATCCATCAGGCTTTGCCTTCTGTTATTCCCAGGGCAACAACATCTCGTCCTTGTCTTCCTCCGTTCTGTCCAACGTTACTGGGATGCACTGGCTCATCCTGGACCGCAACCAGCTACAGAGCGACAAGCTGGACCCCGCTGCCCTGCAAAAGCAGACCCAGCTCTCCCACTTCTTTGCCAACCACAACCACCTGAGTTCAGTGCCTCGTGCTTTACCAGCTGGACTCAAGCAGCTGCGACTGGCCCACAATCAAATCAGCAGCATCAGCTCTGGAGCTTTCCAGAACCTACACAACCTGACGCTGCTGCTGCTGCAGGGAAACAAACTGCAAACCATCACAGATGGAGACCTCAAAGGTAATGTGTCATTTCATTTCTTCATACATACATTATATCATATATCTTTATGTAGATGTTGAGTAGACAATGAGAGAGTATAGCATACAGTAGCTCTGTCTTATACCTGGCCAGATACACAATATACAAACATTCAAACAAGGATTTTCCATACTTTAATGTCAGTCTTATTTGTTATTGTCTACAAATGTGCATTTGACATACACTACCACTCAAAGGTTTGGACACACCTTTCCATTCAACAAGATGATAGCTATCATCAACTGTATATAAATATGGACGCCATGACAGCTTCCAGAAGTGAAGCCACCATGACTTGATACAGTATAGGTTTGATGCTGTCACTTAATCACTCAGTCGATACTGCGCAGAATCTGGTTGCAAAACACCAACATGCAGCTGCCGTATTTGCGATGTTTTTTGGCTTCACTTTTGCATAGTGGAGGGAAGCGGTGCTGCGTCGTCCAGATTGATGCAGTCAGTAGTGGCTGTTATGGTGGTTGGAGTCATGATGTTGTTTAAGTCACTGGTGATTTGATTTCATGTCTTTCAGCAAATATGTAACGGATCATATAAAATTTCACATTCTACCCATTATTTAATCTGACACCTCCAAAATGTAAAGCAGCTCTACAAATGAAAATTAAGCCAATACTAATGATTTTTAAACACTTGCAAAGAATACTCTTCTTCAAGGCAAAATGACAGGCTTAACAACATTAGTATGGTGCACAGACAATAGTCTGTAGTTATACTGCAGTGAAAATAGCAATAAAGTCATAGATACGGTTGGATTTACAAACTCAGATCTTTGCACTGTGATGTGTCAGTAACTGCTACTCTAACTAACACAGTACCAGTTTGGTATATTTGAAATCTCTTACTATACAGGTCACTTCCTTTCTATAATGACATTTATTTGAACGGATCATACCAACATCTCATACCTTGATGTTTTGCCCTGAGACTGCTTGGAAAATGTTTATAGTCACTCCATCAGTCACACGAGGTACATTTGTTGTAGTACTAACTTGTTTATGATCCCCACACCTTGTAGGTTTGGTCAGTCTGAACCTGCTGGACCTCAGTGGGAATCTGTTTTCTACCATCCCCGTGCATTTACCTCCCTCCATCCAGCAGCTTTATCTATCCAATAACTCTCTCTCTGGGCTGGATGAGGACAGTTTTGTAAAGCTTCTCAACCTCAAGTACCTCCGTCTGAGTCACTGTGGTTTGCAGAGCCGTAGCATCCACCCGCAGGTCTTCAACTTCTCCAGCTTGGTGGAACTGGACCTTTCTTATAACAAACTTACAACCATTCCCACGGTCCCCACCACCCTGCAGTACCTCTACATGGAGGCCAATGAAATACAAGGTGAGGCCAATACATACAGTAATATATATACACAAAGAAAAATGTGAATACACATTCACATGGATACAATTACTGTTCATACTGTGAATGATAGTCACTGACTTCATGTCCATGAAATGTTGATCTCCCACACATGTGCACACACACATTCATAGATTCATATGACATGACAACAAAGCAGCGTTATTGGTGAGTTATGTGCTGTAGCTGACCAGCTGGGCAGATATGATACCCAAACCCTGCTCTGAGGGAGGA